TGTATGTATGTATGTATGTATGTGTTTGTCATTCTTTCGTGGGTAAGGTAGATTGATTTACCTTCTTTGGTTGTATTAATGACAGATGATATAAAGAAAAACAATATCATCAACTCTCACATTAGCTTTATATTTGCCCCCTGTATGTCCCATAATGCCTTGCAATCCAAGAGGGCTGCCATATCATCAAAGCAGTCTGTTACATAAATGTTTTTGTGTGTCATTTTAACTGACAGTAAAGTGCGCTTTGTCTTCTATTGCTATATTTTTTGTCTATCAATAAACATAAACTTTATCATATATTTCTAAATACTATTTTCAGGCAATGCCAGTGATAATGGATGGTAAAGATGTTGTTGCTATGGCTCGCACAGGTTAGTTTTATGTGGTATTTGTGTCATTTATGCCATGTATCATTGATGATAAATCTAACAGTGTGTTATATAACTTAATTGCAGAAGAACTAAAGAGTACATTCTTGGAAACTTTAACCATAGTTTATGCAGCGTTATTGCCTCTTGGGAGGATTTATTTTGGTCCTCGATCATACCTCAATATTTTATCTCTGTGTTGAATAATTATTTGCTATATACTGTATCTAAATATGGTGACCAATTTGAATAACTATTCACCATTTTCCATGCATTGATTCACTGGTCAAATACAAAGCACTCAAGCGAGGCGCCAAGGTACTTTCAAAGGATTATTCAAATTTGAACCTTGCAGCCTCAACTGAATGCTTCATGTCTGACCAGTGAACTGATGTCTGGAAAATGGTGAATTGCTCTGCATTGACTAGCAACTGACTAGCCTCATGTTCACGTGGAAACATAAAAGCATTTTCACGTGTCAGAGATTAGTCAGTCGCTAAGTCAGTGCAGAACAATATTTATTCAAATTGCTCACCATATTTCGATTCAGTGTATGGCAATTTACTCATGAATGTATGGTCATTTATCAATAATTTTGCAGGGTCAGGTAAAACAGCAGCTTTTCTCATTCCCATGTTTGAAAAGTTACAGTCACACTCAGCAAAGGTATGATTTGTAAAAATTATTAAATGAGGTTTAGCATGGTTTTCATAGAGTATCCCATATGACCAATGCCACTCTGCATAGTAACCTGCTGTTATAGAGTATACAAGATCATTTCCAACACCATAACTTCTCTGTTTTTTAGACTGGTGCTAGAGCATTGATAATGTCACCAACTCGAGAACTTGCTCTTCAGACACTGAAATTTATAAAAGAAGTAAGTACTACACGTATATATAATAGCTTTTTGCACATTCTAAGCCATGTTTGTACTTGAACAATATGTGCTGTAAAATCCTGGTCATAAGCCCCCCCTGAGTTGTAAGCTATAAGCCCCAAGGTCATAAGCCCTCTAGGTCAGAAGCCCACTAGTCTGTTAGGCCAAATATCCTTTTAACCAGTTAGAAGCACCCCCCTCCCCATCAGGTTTATGGCTATCTCTGTAATGTCATGTTTATTTTGTTGATGAAACACAAGATTGACTGGGAACATAAGAGAAACAATAACATAACCATATAAATCAGAGTATAAGCCCATGGATTATAACTGGGATTTTAATCTATGCACTTTGAGCTTTGATACCTAAAAAAATCATCAACATTGATTCAGTTAAAGTGTAAAGTGTGACATGCATACTACTGTATTTCTGTAAATCATTCTTTGTCTTATGAACAGCTTGGTCGTTTCACTGGTATAAAGGCTGCAGTGATCCTTGGTGGTGATAGTTTTGAGGGACAGTTTGCTGCAATACACAGAAATCCAGATATGTAAGTACTTGTACACCTTGGCAGTAGATATGGATAAGGTCAAACAAAAAATAAGTGTTTCTTGTTGCACGAAAAAAGTAATTGGGGTGGGTAGGTCCGATTTTTGTCTAAACTGTAGTTTGATTCCCTAATGATTTCACACATTTATTTGAATTTTTATTCATTATTCTTTCATAGTATTGTTGCAACTCCTGGTCGATTCCTGCATGTGATAATGGAGATGGATTTTAAGCTGTCGTCTGTAGAATATATAGTATTTGATGAAGCTGATCGGTAAATATAAAGAATGTACTTGACAATCAGACTCATAGGCTGAAGGATACAGTACATATAAATTTAAGTCCATAATCCAACCTCTGGGGTCTTGAATTTAATTCCTAGATTTAAACCTGAAATTGAGATCAATCAAAACATTCATCTAAGCTGAATAAATGGTGCAAAAGCCGCTTCAATCAGCTTTAGGGAAGTCTATCAATTCACAGAATGAAAAGTGGAAGCATACAGTAGTCGCTAAAAAAGCTACTTTTGAGACACCATAACCACCAGAATTCCTCGCACTCTTTCTTTCATTCTGTTAATTAGCACAAATGACTTGCTATTCTCATGAGAAAATGCAAATTTGAATAAGAAAGAAAATTTGTGAACTGCAGTGGTAGATGTGGTAATAATGTGGCAATGTCTCCCCGATTAGTAGGGCACTTGTGCCCGGCTAGAAGAAATAGAGACATTAATAAAATTATTTTCATTATTATTATAGTATTACTGTAATCATTTGGCTTTTTATGATAAAAATATTTACAAATATTTTGTTTTATAGGTTATTTGAAATGGGATTTTCGGAGCAGCTACATGAAATAATCCATAAATTACCTGATTCAAGGTGAGTTTCAATAATCGATTTACAAGTGAGCTATATTTTTAACTAGTTTAAAAAAAAACAGCTGGACATTGGACAATGTCCACCCATAATTGGAACTTGTCTGGTCAAATCCTTGCCTTGCTGTTCATTTTGATTAGTATCATTGAGCCCGAAACAAGGTATGAACAAGCTAAGACCAAATTGGCTGGTCATCATGGGCATTGACTTACCAGCCGTTTATTTTTCAGCCCTGTTAAGGTTATATATTACATGCTTTACTGGTGACGTTTATTTGTTCTTGTCGCAGACAAACCCTGTTATTCTCAGCAACATTGCCAAGAATACTTGTAGACTTTGCTAAAGCTGGTAAGTCAGAAGTTATAGATTAATCTTTACTATTTGATATTTTAGTTTACAAAACTTGCTGTTCTTTCTGATTGTAGGACTAACAGACCCAGCACTCATTCGTCTTGATGTGGATTCAAAAATTAGTGATCAATTAAAGGTGTGTATGTACAGACTGAAGAGATTTAGTGGTCTCTAGAAAGCTTTCATATTGAGTGTCTGTAGTTGCCAAATTGACTGTTTACAGCATAAAAAATAAAATGAATAAATCAACATGTAATGATTTGTTTATTACACATTTAGGCTCGATATATAACACACACAAAATGTTTTATTGTCTTAAATATCCTTAACCGACTTACATCATTTCAAAATGTTAAAGAATTATACGTTTCCAATTCAATATCATTCAAGATATTAAAGCTTAATTAAAAATGTAAGAAGCACAAAATTCATCTTGAATTTGATAGAAATAAACACTAAATAGAGATTTATCTCATCACTCTTGACTACTATCGTAGTCAAGTTACAGTTACAGTTTACCGTGAAGTGATATCGTATCACTTCACTGATATGGTTTTTATTCACGGCTTTATTTCACGGATATCGAGCTTAAATGTGTAATAAATATCTTTATTTAAGTGTCTAGTCGTCTTTTGCACTAATTGGGGACACTTTTTGCTCACATGCACTACCACTACATTCAATATTCTATGCACACAAATGCTCAACTCACATGTTGATTTTTACGGAGGGAGTAAACTGGAGAACCCGGAGAAAACCCTCATAGCATAGGAGAGAACAACACATCAAACAATCTCAATTCACATGTGATGACCGCAGGGCTCGAATCAGCGACCTGACCCGTTGGACTCACAGCAGTGAAAGACGACGTGTTAGCCGCAAACGCCACCCATGCTACCCATATAGACACACATACATATAGAAATATACATATAGAAACTTGTTGTTTGCATTGCAACTTTATTAGTTGCAAATAGCACATTATCAATAGTTGACCATATGTGGCTCTCACCAATTTAACCGGACCTGGGTTCATTTCCCAGACCTGGCATCCTATGCGAGTAAACTTGCTTGTTGGTTCTCTTCTGTGATTCAAGGTTTTTCTCTGGGTACTTTAGGTTACTCTCTGTACGAAAATCAACTTCTAAATTCCAATTTGAATTCAGTTAAATGAAGAGCCTTTCTGTGGAATCACTGTTAATCCCCATATATTTTATTTCTGTTTTATTTCTATTTTATATGGTTGTTTGTTAATATTTCAGATGGCATTTTTCTACTGCAGAGCAGATGACAAGCCAGGTAATAAAATATTTTCCATGTAATGTGTTGTTATACCATTCTTCCCTTTACTTTAATCTATCATGGCTCCTCTTGTTGGGTCCCTTCAGCCCCAGATATCATACATACAGTACAGAAGAGTCCCATTATCTTGAATCCCAGATATCTTCCTAGAACTTCCCAGTGTCTCAAACTGTCCATAGTCAATATTCCGTGGACTTGCATCACTACATTTACCATGAATACCTCGAGCCCCCATTATGAAGCATAGGTGAAATAGACTAGTGGTGAAAGTGCTCTCCTCTCATCAAAGCAACTTGTCATCCCTTCACAAAAATCAACTTCTAACTTCCAATTGGAATTCAGTGAATGAAGAGCCACTCTGTGGAAATACCACTGTTCAATTCCATTGTAATTTTATTTTTTTATTATTTAGAACCCTTTACTTGGTTACCTGGAGATTTGAGATAGCAAGACTCAATTAACTGTATCTCATTGATTTTTTAAACTAATGCTTTATTTGTTATAGCCATTCTTTTGCATTTATTACAAAATGTAATCAGTCAGAATGAACAAACCTTGATATTTGTGGCCACCAAACACCATGTGGAATATTTAAAAGAGGTAAGAAAGATGAAAAAGATAATCAAATGACAATCAATATGAACTGATAGATAGACGGATGAATTGAGGAATGGATGGATGGATGGATGTAACAAATGAAGGAATGAGATGAATGACGCAATAAATGAATGGGTGAATAAATGAGAACAAATAAATGCCTTGTTAAATGCCTTTTTTTCATGTCTGTGTGTTTCCTCTTTATTCCTTTTTATTCAGTTACTATCACAAAGTGGAATCTGCTGTTCATATGTATATAGCTCCTTGGATCAAACAGGTACTATTTTATAATGCTTTCTAATAATGTCTTCTTAAAATGACAGGGTAGCAACTTTTCAGGTATTTTATATTAAAAGACGTAGAAATTGATAAACAGCTATTTAAAAAAAGGTTGGTAAAGGTTTAACATGTAAGAAATAGAGCTTACATGGGCGTGCGGAGATACGAAATTTATCTTCGAGTGTTGAAAAGATAGATTTTCAACATGAGAAGAATAATTTCGTATCTCCGCCGCGCACCCATGTAATATTCTGTTTATTATATATTTAGCTTTTTATTATTATAACTAACTAACTAATAGCTTAAATATGCAAGGTAACAATATTTTCACTCGTGAAAATAACATGTTATTTTCACGTGTAAAAATATCAGATTTTCGAAAAGGAGAAATATAAGTATTTTATGGATAATTATATGATAAAATCTTTTTTGAAATAGCTGTATTTAAAAATGTAATCACTTGTACATAGATGTAGACTGTTTTCCATGGGTGTAATTTTCCAGGCATGTTTTCAGGGTTTGATAAAATCTAAAGGTCAAAACTGGTGTTGTAGACCAGAATAGGTCGTCATGAAAAGGTCTGAGAAATGTTTCTTTAATAAGCTGTGTCTTTTTGTCGTCAGCGCGCACAATTAACGTAAGCAAATTCCAGCACAAGAAGACAATGGTGATGGTTGTAACCGATGTAGCTGCCCGTGGAATAGATATACCAATGTTGGATAATGTGATCAACTTCCACTTCCCTGCAAAATCTAAACTGTTTATTCACCGGGTTGGTAAGTAAAAGCTTAGAATTTTAAAATTTGAGAAATGGAATCCCATTTTTTATCCCCTTGACATGGGTTTGCATTTTTAATGACAGTGTGAACTTGTTTGAGAAAAAGCAAACGGAACATGTTGTGAAATGGGGTAAAATGCAAGAACGAACATTTTTTTATTGCCTTTGGCACGTGTTTATGCAGAAGGGAGTGACGTATGTTCTAGAATATAGTTATTTTCTCTCTCAGATGAGAGTGTGTGGCTTTCTTTTAATGTTACCATACTGTAACTGTATTTTAACAGGTCGTGTTGCTAGAGCAGGAAGATCAGGGACTGCTTACTCACTTGTAGCCATGGATGAGGTAAATTACTGAAGGAGCTACATGTATTCTGTACAGTATCTGTATCCTATCTTTGTTACACAAGCCATGTCTTTCATAGCCAAGTCTGAATGCAGGGTCTCAGGGATGGAAATGGAGGGATATGACAAAGGGACATTCAGAAAAAGATAGAAAAAATATAGAATGAGGAATATAGAATGAAGCAAAAAAATATAACTTTAAATGCATGGATTTCAAATGTGTGTTTCTTTTGGTTTGATAGGTAGCTCACATGTTGGACCTACATTTATTTTTGGGCCGACCACTCAAGGTGGCTACCAAGGATTCTAAAAATGATGACAGTGAGGGGTTATTGGGTAGAGTACCGCAAAGGATTGTGGATGAGGAAGAGGATTTCTTGAGAACTGCGCATGACCAGTCACATGACCTGGTAAGGACATTTTAACAGATTGATTGAATAGGCCGTTTGCATGATGGCATCATTTGACTCCCACTACCTAGATGCTTGGCGAATTCTTATTCAAATTTGTATTCCCTCATGAGAATAGTAAGACGATTGCTACTAATTAACTGAACAAAAAAGTGTTCAAGGGATTGTGGTAGTGGTAATAGTATGCTATAGTGCAAGGGTCCTATTAATAATGATAATAAGAAAGGGATGTAGGGTTATGTTGTGTTCACATGATGTCCACTCAATATTCAATCTTTATAACCTGAAGTTGACTTTGAAATCAATCCATCAATCAGTCAATCAATCTTTATAACCTGAAGTTCACTTTGCAATCAAGAAATCTATCGATCAATCTTTATAACCTGAAGTTGGATTTGTGGATGTGTATCGCCTAGTTTCTTGTCCAAACAGGTTTTTTTCTCTTCCAGTTTTCGTTACAAGGAGTTTGTACCAATGCGTACAAACAGTACATACGATCTAGAACTAATCCTTCATCAGAGTCAGTTAAAAGAGCAAAAGAACTCGTGACGTCAACGATAGCAGTGCACCCAATACTAGGTAAGGCAAGTCACAAGATAAATGGCTCAACTCAAAGTAATTTTATAACTGATTTATTACTTATTATTTTTAATTTTTAATTTTTTTTTTAATATACAGAAGTCAATAGACGTATTAGTAATAGTTGTTTGAGAGCATAACTGTTTTTTTTAATCAAAGATATATAGAGCTGTTTAGTGTGACGAAATTCGAACGAAAAACAGCTTCCGGGCCCAAATTGAAAATTACTTCTACAGACATTTTTCTGTATTTTTTCTTCATAGCAGGATTTTCTGTTCATATATCTAATTGTTGAAGGTAGAGAATAAATCCTGGGAATAAGCTGTGGCAAGATTTTAGCGGACTTTTGTGTGATTGGACCAAGAAATACAGTACGTCACGACTTAAAAGCCCTATTGCACTGAGCCATGCAAGGGAATATTGGGTGGTGAAGTGGTAGTGTACTTGCCTCGGGGGTTCCATTGGGCATTACATGTGAGTAGAGTTTGCTAAATTATTTATTTTTATCGTTTTGTCTTGTTCAGGTTCCACTGATGATGAATCAACTGTTTCACAAGCACAGCTGCTTGATAGCGTACGGAACTTCAAATCCAGACAGGTAGGGTATTGAATCAAGGGTGGTGTAGCGGAGGTTCGATTTGTAAACTCGTCATCACATGTGAGTAGAATTTGTAAGGTTTGACTAAGATCAGCCCAGAGGTTGTTTCAG